CGTATCAAGTGTAATCTACATGTGTATCTATGTGTGCTTAATTTCAAAATTCATCCTCTGTTTTCAGAAGCATTTCTGAAAACAGAGGATGGCAAAAATTTAAAAAAAAATGCAAATTTTACCCTATCTTCAGCAGCAAAAATCTGAATGTGACCCACATTCAGACTATTTTTTTTTTCTGTTTTGTTTCATTTGAAAGAATGTTGTTACTACTTCTATCAAATTTATTGTTTTTCATTTTGTGACCGGGCCTTCTAGATAGAGAAATAGCTCATGTTTTCAAGGTTACTCCTCGCACGCAACGCATGCAGGGTGAGTCAGAAAGAATAATAAGAAATACAGGGTGTTCAAGGTTTAAATTTTATTCTTAAATTTCTCAATAATTGAGAACGTTGTGATAGCATGACTCTGAAAATTGGTAGTGTTGGGTTTTTTGGTGTGAGAATTACGATTTGAAGCTTATTTTGACGTTGCTCCTAGAGGGCGCTAGTTTTACCGTATTGAAGATGAAGATTGGAGATGGTCGACTGGGACCGTTGGGTCAGTTAACAATAACATGGAATGACCCTATCGTGAAATTGCTAATATTCGCACTTTATCTCTTTTGTTTCCATTTTCAACATTTCATTGTCCAAAGTCGTCCAAGTCCTCCTAAGTTTTGAGAAACCTGGGAAAGTGTAACAATTCTTCTTATTGTATATAATATATACTTTAATACTTCCAACAATTTTCTGAGGTATATATAATGCGTCTTCTTTTTGTATAATCCTTAAGTTGCTTAAATGATTTGACCTATTGTTAATTTTTATAAAATTTGATATCTTTGGCAGCTACTTTGATATCTGAAAAACTAAACCCGATAGGAAAAAACAATATTTCGTCGGTTTTACTTAAAACTCGATTCTGAACCAGATCTTTACTTTTTCGCCTCTTGATATAAATCCTCCTGCACAACCAATATTCCAATTCCATTAAAAAAAATCCCTAGAAAAAATTACTTGAATTTCTTATATTAAAATATATTTTAACATAGTTTTTGCAATTAATAGGAGAAACCTTCCTCAAAATTACTCATATAATTGGCCTTTAGGTAAATAAGAATACTCAAAGCTGTTATTTGTTATCTGCATATTATTCGATACAACTACGTCTCCGTTTCTAATAAATGTCAGTGATACAACACTGAAATACGTTTTCCAAATGAAGCGGTGAAATGTATGATTTGTATTACAGATAATGTCTATTAGACGTAACATTTACGTACCGATTACTCTTCGCGATAATAATATATAGATACTTAATACACCAACTGGTATGCGAGTCCAATTATAATGAAATGACGAATTAATCTCAGCGGGCGGCTGCTTTGAAGCATACCGTGGATGCAGTGATCTCATAAATATGGCATAAAACGTGCACCGAAATTCTTGGAATCCGTTCCTTATTTTCTGATTACTCCATTTTGTATCTCTCGTTAATTAGCGATAAATACATGTTTATTGCATTCAGGAATGTGTGGAGTTAATTATTTATTGCTTTATTTTAAAGGTTTTATTGAGGTATTTTTAAGATAATTCAATTAAATTCAACAAAAATTTCCCAAAAATCCTTATTTGATAAAATGGGATGAAACAATGTTCTTTGATACCAAAAATCAAGGTATACGAAATATATCTAGCGCCACAGACAAAAATAACTATTCTATGGGCTATATACCCGGACTATCACTGATTTTCACCATCACAGTTAGTAATTACTGACTATCTAAAATACAAATTAAAAATATTATTAGGTAAAAAAATATATTTGGCATATTGAAGTCATTTAATAATGTAATCTGAAAATGAAGTTTGCCTGGACAGTGTTTGTTATAAAAATCATTAAATATGACTTAAATTGGTCTGGATCCTCCTGGAATTATTTATTAACTAAATTTAAGTTGCCTTCTTCTGTTTGCTCTTCGGTAACCAATATTGTACCCGCCAAAGCTGTTTTGTCACCAACAGATCATTCACTGATAAATAGCCTAATTTAGAATAACAATAATCTATAATATCGGATGTTCCAAAATTCTCGCATGTTTTGAATTTTGCGCCATTTGTGCGGTAAATTGTTGCCAACGAGAAAAAAGTCAGCGTGACGGCAAACACGCTGACAGTTCAGTGTTATTAAAAATGGAGCGTATAACATATACACACTTGTTTTGTTATATCATATCGATAACTTCAACATCAACAAAATATCATACAAGTATACTATATTTGAACTTCACCATTCTGAAGCCTAGGTTTAGTGGAAGTAGAGTAAATGAATTTTTATTACGATTAGAAGCTGAACCTATCGTAGGATGTAAGTTCCTTGTTTTTTTTTTAATTAGTGTATGGCTGAGTCACTACTAGGGAAAGTGAAGAATTAATAGAGACGTCCATCTTAGAAAATCCTTAGTGGCACCTTATAAGTGAAAAAATGTTGTCTCTGTTGAACTCTAATTTATTTACCATCCTTTCAACAACCTGAGATAGAGCCTTTCGGTGAACACCTAAGCATCCAACCCACGACCAGCCGAGGCGAAAAACAAACTTCTATGGTCCGTGCAGATTAGAAGTGGCTATAAGCGCTACACGAAACCACGTTTTAAAAAATTTACAATTTTCAATCAAAAACATGTTTTCTATCAAAGTTACTTCTGGCAAGAATTTTGGAACATCAATCTATAATATAGTATAAAGTTTTAGATTTGTTTCCTTGTCATTCTCCTCTGTCTCATTCTTCTTGTAAAGCAAATAGAAGGTGCAGTACTATAATAAATAAGCTCATTTTTTGTTAGAAGCTGATGTCCAACAATTATTGATATTTAAAATTGACCATACTGAGTAGCTGCAATAAAAAATTTGTCTGTAGTAATATTTTCTGTTCTAAAATAATAATTCTCCCACCTGCGAAAAACAGCAGCCTTTGCGCAGTGAAATTGCAGTCTTTCTTCCCTTGAATCATTCCACAAAACATTCACATATAATGAGGTACTTCTTTCATCCATAGATACCACGTTAGTAGTGTTTTGGAGGTACAATATACCAGACATAAAAATGAATTTTCAATAAATTTGAGAACTTATAGGACACCCTGTACATGCGATAGTCAATAAGAAACTGACATTTTTTCTACCTTAAGCTGAAAGTACTGTTTTCGTTATTTAAGACAAAAATGAAAATAAGTTTATAATTTTCTTGAATAAATCACTGAACTGTTTATAAATTTACATAACCTTTCTTAGCAATTAACTTAGTTTTAATGGAACATGTTTTGCGCATACCTGAAAGTATTTAGAATAACTAAAATAAGTGAACATTATACCCTGACAAATGTCATCTTTCGCTGTTATAGTGGCAAATTTGATTAAAGCACATATGTTGCTATGTGACAATAACTAAAAATTGATTGTTAATATTAATGTACTTAATTGTATTATGAACTGTTTTGATTTAGTTAAACATAAAATTATATATAAAATACCGGATGGACTATTTTGGTGGTGCATGTATTGGGGAACTGTAAGAAACGGAAAAACTTAATCGCGCTTGCAGACTGGTTGCAGTTGTTCAAATATTCGAGATATTTTGATAAAAATTTCCAGAATTTTTAAAATCTATATAAATCCTAGGTAGCAACTTTTTGAAAGAAATTTCATTGCGAGCTCAGCTTTACAAAATACACCTTTCGTTGAACATGCAATTTATTATAGCGCCCATAGAAAAATAAAACTGAAAAGGAAATGATGGTGATTTCCCAAAATCGTAAAGTTGAAACAAAATTCTACATCGAAATTCTGTGCAAAGAGTTGCTGAAATAAAGAATTCACAAATTTCAAAAATTCATGAATATTTTATTCATACTGTATTCAAAGACTATCAAGAAAGGAGTCGATTTGATTACATTAATAATACAACGATATAAAGCTTTGTATATTAATCACGTCATATAAGACGTAGCTGAAAATCTATATAATTTATAAAATATGTATAATATTATTACAACAATCAAACTAAAACCTCCAAATAGATAATTTAGACATTTGTATAAAGTGGTCAACTGAAATTAAAACAAAACAAATTGACTGTTTAAATCAATGATTCCCAAAGTCCATGTTAGCGAAAACAAAAATTGGGAGTGCATGTGATGTAAATGGAGGTCCACGAGAATGCATCCTGTTTAAGCAAGTCGTGGCCGAAATTTTGGCTTTCCATAAATGGAATAATTCACATAACACAGATAGTACTTACGTACTTACGTAATACTTTCTTATGATAAACATATAAATTATATATGAAGTAAAATTTTTTAAAACATAAATGTTTATGAAACATGAGAAGATTTGAAGCTAGATTTGGGTCACTTTGTGAGTACATGGCAAAATTCGAAATCGATGATAAGATCATACTTCGTCGACGGGTCAAACTAATAACTTAATTGTTTTGAATTTTAATTAATGCTAATTGTTACAATATTCTCTTGAGTTTAACCTATTTTGATTTAATTATAAAATTATTGTTATACTTTCGTTATTGAAATTTCAGTTATTTTCTTATATATCAAACTGTTTAAGAATTATTATAAATTTCATAGTAAACAATTATTTTATCACTCATTCAATTGCACTCAATTACACACTCAGTATATTTCATAAAATTGTGCTGTAGGCCATTCGCTTTGTGGTCGCAACACTTATAACTTGTAAAAACTTATCAGCTGTCAAAGACACATTTGAAATTGATGAATTTCTAAAAATTCAATATTACAAAGGCAAGGGTCTACCCAAAACAGAAAAAATTTGCACGTGGTCTACGAGACAAAAAAGTTTGGGAACCTCTGGTAGATAATTAGAAACTACATATTTAATTATTACGTATTTTCACATTGAAAAATCGAGCTGTAATAAGATATTATTATTTCTTAAAAAAAATATATTCTTTGTTTCCACTACAGCAATGCTTTTGTTCCAGTTCCCGAGAATTAATAAAGGCTGCGATACTCGACAATGACTTCATGAAAAATTTGGAAATTACACAAATCAGAGAGATCGTGGACTGCATGTACCCTGAAGAGTACAAATCTGAGAGCATCATTATCCGAGAAGGCGATGTTGGCAGCACTGTTTACGTTTTAGAAGGTAAGTGAGCAGTATGACGCCCATATATTAATCACACTTTTGCTGCATTTTAAAAAATGTTTTTAATCGTTGAAGAAAATTTACTGTGTAGTATGTCGCAAATTCTATCCATCTATTTATGTATTTCATAGAGTTCAAAGTGTTCAAGGAAAATTGAAATTATTTTTTTTATTTTCTACTCTTTTTAAAAAATTGATTCGCTCTGTATATTGTTTTTTACTTTTTCCTTATACTTTTGTACAGTTATCCTTTATTTTGTTAATGGTAGCCGCAACCATATTGGTTGTGGTACTTCTTGCAATAACCTTTTTGAGGAAAAAGTGGTTGGCTTTGATATTAATCGTTTCTACTTAGAAAACATCATTTTATTCTAAATAACAATAATGTTTTGTGTAGTCCGGTGAATTGACAGTTTTTTACAATTAAACTATCGACAATCGATTATTATTGCAATTTTTGGAACATTGTATAAATAGAAAATCTTAAACCATCAAGGGGAACTTTTCTTGATATATTGAAATCATATTATTTTCTACATGTAACAGATCTTTAACAAACTTATTTCAAGTGCATGAGAATAGCTCAATAACATTACCACCTATGTAGGTGGTTCCAGTAAACATTTACGAATTAATTTAAAAGTATAGGATGTAAAAACTCCAATGAATAATAAAGCAATTTGAAACAAATTCAATATATTCCAGTCGTTTTATTATAAACTAAACGTACGATTTTAGTACTTTATCTTATAGTGACAAAAATAATGTCCGATTCCAATTGTATACATATTTTTGTAACAACTGTTTAAGGGAGACTACTAGCATAATATTTGAATGCCTTGTTTAATTAACATCATTGCTTTGTTTAATTGAATAGTTATAAATAAATCAAGCTATGTCAATGAAGGTAAGTAAGTAAAGCAATTAAGGAACTTAAGAGAATTAAATATTTTAATTGCGCCATCTCTTGGTAGGAGTATAAAACCGGTGTGCCTAATAAAGAATTCTGCAGTTGTAATGGTTTCGTTACTATAGGCAACCGGTCATGAGCAGCTGTAATGCAAGATGCCTATATATAAGGTGTGATAGGTTGCCAATAAATTTAATACTAACTAAAACATAAAACAACATAAAAAATGTATCTTAGACTTTCATCTGCGGACTGTTTAGTTTTTACTATTCAAGGAATTTTGGACCAAGATGCCTTAAATTCAGGGCTAATAAAACATCGCAATGTAAAATGTTTTTTATCTCTATGAACCATAGACTTGTTGACTTTTAAAATTGAGGGAATTAAAAATGGTTTTAAAATCAAATGTTGGCCACATCTTTTTCAAAACAACAATGTTTGAGATGATACGCCAGTGTTGTCAATTTTCGGTTACGCGCTAAAGATTGCCAGCTTCGTTCTTTGACGATGGCGTACAAAGTCAGTGGCGTCAATAAATAATTTAACTTTAACTTAATATATCTGTGTTAAATATGTTAAAATGGACTTACTAGCGTCTTATTTTATCCAGGTGAAATTTGCACCTTAACACACATACTAAAATGGCTTCTGCGATGAACTTTTATTATTTTTCTCATCTTTAGTTTCGTCTTGGTTATCCACATTGTTTTCCTATTTAAGTCCCATTGTATATTAGTGTATGTTTCTTATTTTACATGTGGCGATACCATAGGCATCTAGAAAAACTCGAATGTAGCATCTTTAGATACTTATTGTTAGTTGCACCAAATCACATTTGACCTCTGGATTTCAAAAACAATAGAATATTTTTTAATATTCTGTTAGCTTTTGATTTTATGACCACGTTTTTTCACCACTTTATCTTCCCAGAAAAGAAAAATGTGTATACTATTGTACATTTAAATATTTTTTTTGATTTTTTGTTTAACTAAGTAATCATAATCAAATGTAATACCCTGAATAAGATCCTTGGAATCATAAAAGCAAATCTACATCGAGATTTTTTGGGCTTTGGCTTTTCTGGCGCTTTCCACTCGGCACTTTAGCGTATGGTTTTTGGGTCATATTGAAAACACCACGTTTCATCACCAGTCACAATGTTGTAAAGGAAGTTTTTGTCCTTTTGTCCTTGGTGATGTACTTCATTGAATTCTGAGTAATTTTTGGTCACCTGTCAACTTGTGCGGAGCAATCCGTGCACACACTTTTCGGTAGCCCAAATGATCTACCAATAAACGATAAAATGTTCTCGAGATGAATTTCCTTGAACATTTTGGTTGTTTTTTGATAAATTCAGGCACAGTTTTGTTGGAAGTTGCGGTGATCACGGATTACGGTTGGCGATCATGTTGCTCATCATTTATGTCCTCACGACCGTTTTTAAACCGTCAATACCAAATACCACTCTGCCCCGGGATAAACAGTCATTTCCCATAAACTTGGTTCTTCAATTGAAACGTTTCGGTAAAAATTTTATCAAGTTTAAAAAACCACCTTAATACTATCTCTTTGTTCGATGCTCATATTTGTACCGATTACAAACATACTGTAACTTCAGATGCAATAACTCCGTTTCTATTCTATTTTATTTTATTTTTTTATTTTATTTTATTTTATTTTATTTTATTTTATACACCACCCAACAGAAAATTCCATTTACAGGATGGGTAAAAACAGAAAAATACAATACATTTAATAACTAAATAACAAAATACAAAAAAAAAGATGTATACTAACATACTTAACCTATGTAAAACACGATGAATATAATGCATGTTCACTCAATGATTATTATTAGTTGACACGTTTGCAAATAGGTCCAAAGACTCTTGATGGTTATTATAGTAACTGCACATTTGGTATATAGGAGAGTATTTGAGAATATTTCGTCCAAATGTCATGAAATTTTGACAGTACATCAGTGAAGGGTCTACCTTTCCGACACATGTAATTGCCAATAGATGACCTCACTAGATATACATATTTTTGAAAAGTCCTGTTTACATTGGAACGCACCTTCTATGAATGAAAAAAACACGTATCCAATAAAGTACCAATAATCACGTAAAAGTAAATGTTTTAACATCGATCTAATTCGTTTATACACTCAGCAAAGAAATTTAAGAGAACCGAATATATTTTTTAGTGATATTTGAAAGGCTGTAACTTTGAATAATGATGGCATCGGGAAAAAATGAAGCATCTTGAAACTTGAAGATTCCAGTCTTAAAATCTTGAGATGTAAAATTTTTTGAGTATCCTCTCGGCGCAATCAAATGCAAGGCAATTTTTTTTTTTTCAAAACTGCCTATGGGCTCGGAAAAATTAAATCTTTCTTAATCAATGCCAGGGTCATTTATCCTGATTTTTTTATTTTCTGTACGATTATTTCTCATTGAGATATCGGATATTGAATGAAAAGTCACCTTTTTTTTGACCATCGGTATCTCAGGAACTAATGATCGTACAGCGAACAGAGGGTTTTGGAAACTCGCATCAATCCTCTTCAAGGGCCTTTTGATATGTTTGGGAAAGAAAAATTATACTCAATTTGAAAAAGTGCAAAATCCTGCTGTTTTGGAAAATCAATAACTACTTTGCGAATATTGCGAAAAGTACCAATGTTTGTAAGTTTCTTTTAGCTCAATACTTGTCCATGAAGCCTGTAAATTTTGATATCGATCGGTCGAATTGTTTTCTTAAATCGTCAAAGTCTTATAAAACATTAAAGAAGCTAGTTTATTACTACTTAAAAATTATTATTAATCATGATTAAGATGAAAAAAATGTTTACGTTTTTTTCGTACAATTTCGCGTTAAATACTCATTAAATATGGAAAAAAAAAATTCAAAATTTAAAAAATCTAATTCTAAATTTTTTTGCGTTATTGTTTTTCATAATTTCAGAGAACAAGTAGGTACATATGTAGGTTTTAATTACTCCATATATAGAGATATTTTATATACAGGGTGTCCCGTAAAGTATGTTACAAACTTTGGGTGGTGATAGTACATAAAAAAATATGACTAAAAACTCTAATAAACATAACCTCTTAAACGCACCGTTTTGAAGTTATAGGCCTTAAAAGGTGCAACTACAAAAGTAGTTTTTGTGACGTAACTCTTTGTTGGAAAAAGAAAACATAATGAAATTTTCAGGGACTAGTCAGCTTTAGGAAGCCAATAAATAATGTGGATATTAATAAAATTGAGAAAGCGGAAGGGTGTTTTTTTATCACCCTGTATCCTATTTTTTGCCAAAAAAAATTTTTCTGCAAAGATACAGCAAATATCATAAGATTTTTAGAAAGACCATTGAATTTAGAAATTTTTTTGTCTCTTGCATTTTTTATGTAAAATGATTAGTTTTCTAATAAATTTACAAAATGCAAAGGGAGTTTACTCACCGCTAGGTGTTAAATTTGACGTATTCAAAAAGTAGGCGCCTGTCACTTTTAACATAGTTGACATTTGTTACCATATTTTAATCGTGTCTGTTGACGAATTATTAATTTGTGAGTACAATGGCGGATAACAATCGTTTTACTAATCAAGAATATGCCGAAATGCATTTTATTTATGGATTATGTAATGGAAATGCAACAGCTGCTCGAAGAACATACATAGAACGTTATCCGCAGAGACGTCAGCCGTCTACACAATTATTTACTCGGATTCACAGACGGATTATTGAAACTGGTAGTGTGGTACCCCGTTACATACATTGTGGTAGAATTGCTAGAAGACTACCCGCGCAAGATGAACAAATTTTGAGATCTTTTGAACAAAATCCGGGAGAAAGTGTGCGAAGGGCAGCTAATCAGTTACAGCTTTCCAGAATGTCAGTTTGGCGTGTTTTGAAGGAAAACGGCCTTTATGCCTACCATCTCCAAAAAGTGCAACATTTAATGCCTGAAGATCTTCCCCGACGCCTAGAATTCTGCCGAATAATACTTAACCATCACCAACATAATGTGGAATTTATTAGCTCCATTTTATTTACCGATGAAGCCACCTTTACACGAGATGGTTTACTGAACTTGCACAATGCACATGCATGGTCAGACGAAAATCCTCATGCTACCATTGATAGTCATCACCAACACCGATTCTCAGTCAACGTATGGGCTGGAATAATAGGTGACTATTTGCTCGGGCCTTTCTTTCTACCTCAAAGGCTTGATGCAGTAGAATATTTAAACTTCCTAGAAAACCATCTCCCTGAGTTAATGGAAAATGTTCCTTTAAATTTGAGACAATACATGTGGTACCTCCATGACGGGGCACCTGCGCATTTCAGTGTTCATGTTAGAGAGTATCTACATATGCGGTTTCCTAATCGATGGATTGGAAGAGGATATAATGCACCAATAGCCTGGCCACCGCGATCACCGGACTTGAATCCTGTCGATTTTTATCTTTGGGGACACGCGAAATCTCAAGTTTATGCAACCCCTGTTGATACAGAAGATCAACTTAGACTGCGAATTGTAGAAACCTTTAATTTAATAAGAAATAGTCTATTCATATTCCAAAGAGTCAGATTTAACTTTATAAAGAGACTGACAGCATGTATCGATGCAGAAGGAGGTCAATTTCAACATTTATTATAATAACATATTTTGTTTTAGTTCTGTTTTGGTTACTTAATTAAAAAAATTATTTTGGAAATTGATTGTATTCTTAAAAATTCACTAGGCTTAAGAAATGTATGTAAATAATTCGGAAGCACTCATCTCTCTGCATTTTGTAAATTTACTAGAAAACTAAACATTTTACATAAAAAACACAAGAGACAAAAAAATTTCTAAATTTAATGGTCTTTCTAAAAATCTTATGATACTTGCTGTACCTTTGCAGAAAAATTTTTTTTAGCAAAAAATAGGATACAGGGTGATAAAAAAACACCCTTCTGCTTTCTCGATTTTATTCATATCCGCATTATTTATTGATTTCCTAAAGCTGATTAGCCCCTGAAAATTTCATTAAGTTTTCTTTTTCCAACAAAGAGTTACGTCATAAAAACTACTTTTATAGTTGCACCTTTGAAGGTCTGTAACTTCAAAATGGTGCGTTTAAGAGGTTATGTTTATTAGAGTTTTTAGTCATATTTTTTTATGTACTATCACCACCCAAAGTTTGCAACATACTTTACGGGACACCCTGTAGAAATTGTTCATTGTTGTATATCTTCACAGCTGCTTGAATTTACAGAAATATTTTTATAAAAAGTAATAATTACTGTTACTTTCTACAGAAAATTCTTAAGTGTAAGTGTTCAGCCACTGAATAAACATGAAGTAATAACTATACTGAAACAAAGTAAACAGCCATACTCTCACGAGTGTATAATTCAACTGCTCTGATTCTTTTGATAATGGTAGAGGATTACCATTTGCGTTGAAATGTATTAATTATTTTGTTAAAATTATATTCCTAAAGGAGAAAATATAAACTTACACCAAATGTAAGATGTCTAGAAGAATAAATAATCTGTTCACATACTGTAAGTTAAAATATATATTTTTCTAGGAAGAATCTTATATTATTTTAATCCATTTACAATTAATTACAAGTATACGCAAATCACTAAACACCAATTTAACAGAAATTGGAAATTATCTTAAGGGTGCTTTGTACAAAATAATTGAATAGCATCTGTTTTTTAAATATATGTACATTATTGTACATCTAATAAAATGCATACGTTAAATATTACATATAAGAAACATATGTTACAAGAGAAAACAGAAACCTTAGGAAGAAGCATTACAATGTTAATTTGAAATTTAAGTTAATAGTATTTATGCTTTCTTCGTTATTTAATTGAAATTTCTTGTGAAATGTTTTGATGCTTCCAAAATCCATATTTCTCTGGGCATTATTAGAGAGATCGAATGAAAGAAAGCGTTTCTGTCTAGATCCAGCTGTTGCTTACAATAAATATTGGAAATGTCTGAAGTGCTCAATTTAAATAATAGAAAATACCTGAAAACTATGTAAATTGTTAATTATCTGAACTCTACTGACACTTGTGTTAATTTTGTGAACTAGTCAGCAAAACTTCACTTCAAGCAAACAAGTTTAAAATCATTTACAGAGTGTCCCAGAATAAAGTGTACAACGGAAGACCACAGATTCGTGGACTCAAAATAGGCAGATTTAGGCTAATTCACCTATATCCGAAATCGCTTTGTTTGGCCGCTAGATGGCCTCAAGTTGGTGAAAATTTTTTGTAGATAACTCGAATACGTATTAATCGATTTTGATTATTTTTGGGGTGTGAACTTTTGCTTTCGATCTACACATTTTGCTGTTATACAGTGTTTTTTAAAACTTACAACACCTACAAAATTGATTTGTGGTGATAATATCCGTTCATAACTTTTTCCTCTTTCGGGCAATAATGACAACTATTTTTTATCTGATAGGTGATACTATTTGAAAGTTTTTGGACCTCTTGTAAAATTTTGATTAAATGAGCGGTTTAGGTACAAAACAATATTTTTTAAATGTCTACATTGCCTTGCCACTCATATTACTGATTTTGTAGTTTGACTGTAATTTCAGTTTGATCTTTAAGTCATTGCACCTGCCAATTCTTAATGAGTATTTACTAGGACAAGATATACCACATGTTACTTCATTTTTCGACTCATACGACGAATTAGAATTATTTGCAACATGCCTAATTTTATTGAGATAATTAGTAAAAACAATTAAATACAATAAAAAATGCTGGAGAGAAAAGTAAAGTTAATGTTATTAAATTTAGTGCAACTATAAAAACTATTCAAAATGACAACAAAGTGAAGAAAGTTAAAGGACACCCTTTGCAGTTCTTGAGAGCAATTTTTTTAAATATTTATGGCAATTAGGATATACCTGCACAACTCCTTCATGTGGAAGCATACACTGTTGTTTTCAGAATGTCCAAAGATATAGTCGCAAGGTGTTAAGTCTGGTGAACGTACAGGCCAGTTAATAGGAGCATTATCCCGTCAACCGATCCATCGACGAGGGAATCTTTGGTTCAGATATTTACAGTGAAATGTATGTGGTGGAGCTCCATCATGCATAAACCACATGTTAGCTCTGAGTAATAACGGCACACCTTCCAATAACTCGGTAAACTGTTTTACAAAAATTCTAAATAAAATTCCCCATTCAGTATATTGGGTAGAATAACAGGGGCAATAATAATGCTATCAATGCGTTGTATTTGATGATTTTTAAAATTATTTGAATAAAATTAGTCACATCGTAAATAACTTTAATTCATCGTATGTATGTGTATCCATATCGAAAAATGAAGTAACAGGTTGTATATCTTATCGACGTAAACACTCATTAAGAATTGTCAGGCACAATGACTTAAAAAACAGACTAAAATTACAGTCAACCTACAAAATCAGGGCGTACTAGTACTTTGTTAAGTATTGTTATATGGGTGGCACGATAATGTAGACATTTAAAAAATATTTGTTTGTACTCAAACCGCTCATTTAATCAAAATTCTACAAGAGGCCCAAAAACTTCCAAATGGTATCACCTATCAAGTAGAAAATAGTTGCCATTATTGCCAGAAAGAGGAAAAAGTTATGAACGGATATTATCACCACACATCAATTTTGTAGGGGTTGTAGTTTTAAAAAACACTCTGTATAACACTAAAATGTGTAGATGGAAAACAAAAGTCCACACCCCAAAAATAATCAAAATCGATTAATAGGTATTTGAGTTATTTACAAAATTCAAAAAATATTCACCAACTTTGAGGCCATCTAGCGGCCAAACTAAGCGACACGTTATTCTGGGACACCCTGTATAAGGCTAACGGAAAATTTAAATGCGATTGAGAGATATTGGAAAATTTGAATGATATCGTTTTGATATTCCTTTACATGTTTTAAGGACAATATATACAAAGTGTTAAAGTTTTTGTCTGTTTTTGATAATTATCTGAAAATTTTATTATAACTACAGATCCGCGTGACTAATTATTTCAAGAGGAGGTTTTTGGAATGCGGTAAGTCATAATAGTGAATAAAACTATGTATTTTGAATGCTTCAGGCTACTTTAAGGACACTTGAAACCACTTAGATATTATAAGAAAATGTATAGTCTTTTTATAACTAGGTGTAATTGTAAATTATACATATTTTCTTGAATTATTCCAGCTCAATTTCCATAAAATCAGAAAACTTCTATGTGTATTCTGTTTTAAAAAATGTATGCTACATAAGGATAAATGTTTTAAAAAGTATGACTATGTATTAATGGTAACTTCAATTCTGTTATTAAAAAATCTGACTAACTTTGATCTGTCACTTGTGCGTTGTTTATAATTACCGCGAGCGTCAGATCATTTGTGAGAAGAAATTGATGCTTAAAATAAGTCAATTTACTGTAAATTACATAATGGATGGAATTTCAAATGCAGAACATGCAGATATAATGTTTATGTACGGAAGAGCGAATGGAAATGCTAATTCTGCTCATAGATTGTATCACGACCATTTTCCCCAAAGAAGACTTCCAAATGTTCAAGTATTTATTAATATGTACTTATAGACGAACAGGGAAATATCCGAGTTAGATCAGAAGGGGGAATTAGAAATGCTGTATATGCTCCTGATGTTGATGAAGAAATCTTGGAAGCTTTCGAACGTGATCCCACAATGAGCATTAGGAAAATAGAGCGACAACTCCACGTTTCCAAGTGGAAGGTTTGGTATGTGCTAAGATTATATGGAAAACATCCTTTTCACTATACTCCTGTTCAAGGACCCGAAGAAGGTCTCTACGAATAAATATCTGTAGGTTTTTGTTAAACGCCGATATGGAAGACAGACTTTTTCTTAAAAGCATTTTATGGACGGATGACTGATGGATCAAAACTTTCGCGGAAAGGGATTACAAATTTTCATAATTTATATTATTGGGCTGAAGACAATTCTCATATGAAACGACAAAACACATTTCAGCACAAATTTAGTGTTAATGTTTGGGCAGGCATTATAGGAAGATCACTTATAGGCCCTTATTATAATAACCTGACAATTTAAATGGTGATAATTATTTAAAATCTCTTCAAAATCACTTACACGAAATTTTAGGTGAAGTTCCTCTTAATATTCAAAACGTAAATAATCACAAAACCTGAATATTCATGCTAAATGGCTGTAATCGCATATTTGAAAATAACTTAATTCAAAATAATTTCTTTATAACACTCTTCTGTGTTGTCAAAAATAAGGGTACTTTACTCTTGGGCAAAATTCATAATTTCTGATATACCTCGTATATGACTGGGAAATTTTGATAACTGAAGATTGCATTTTAGATTTTAGACCATGCAGAACTTTTTATGAAGAATAATTTTTTTTCGTAAAACCAGTAATAAAAAAGTTTTCCATATGATTCCAACTTAAGTAGACACACTGTATACATATTTACTTCATTACACTCGAGATTTGTTTTTCTGGCATTTTTAAAGCATTTAAAGATATGTTATTAGTTTACTATAAATACAAAATAAATTAAATTTCACCAGAAATAAAACTGAACGTGTCTTCCAACAGTATTTACAGTTCCAATAGAAAACACTTTTACATTGTTTAAATTATTTACTGTTTATACTTTATTGTCGACATGGAAAATAATTTCTTGTTAATTGGCATACTTTCTTCCTTTAAATATGTAAAAGTATTTGTGCAGGTAAAGAAAATATTATATGTATTATTTTAATTAGAGAAGAGAATGTCTACCGACGAAGATTGTTTTCATAAAAAATACAAATAGATATTTATTTTAATTTCACTGCCACACTTTGGCAATAAATGTTAACAAAATGAATTGTTATCTTATTATTTCTGTGATTTGACTAAGTATTAAATTGACAATTTAGAAGACCGTGACGATAGTTGTCAATACTGCCACCGTGACATATTTAAAATAACAAACTGCTACGTGTATTTGAATAGATGTATGTATGTATGTTCTTTTGGAACAATCAGGAGTGTAATGAAAAAATTCAATGCCAACATTCAGTCTAAGGTATGTCGGATTTAATCGTGATAGTTTGACATCAAGAAGTCACTAATATCTCACTACTTTTTTTATATACTATTTATTTTTCTTGTGTACCACCAAAGACGTATCAGCAAATATTATGTCACTTTGAAAAAGAAAAAATCGAAACTAGCCCTGGATTTTTTTATAGTATATTTTATTTTTGATTGGATCAAACGGGTACTAAATTACTGTGAAATTTTGTGCAGGTAGTAGTTCCAAAGTTATAATGGAATACAATTTTAGTCCAAGTCAATAAAACATCCTGTATCTTAGAAAATATGTTTCGAAGTCAGCTGAGAGCGCTTTACTTCCAATTAAAGTTTGTCACTTTAAACCTAGAACGATATATAAACAATTTATATTTCGCATTAGGAAAAAGTAGACATAGTAATGAGTTTTTATAGAAAACAAATAATAGGGTAAACAAATCGGTAGTTCTTTATTGGAAATACTACAACGGTACAACATGAAGAAAAGAGAGGTTAGTTTTTTATTATTAAAAAACATATTGTACCTGTGTGTATATTTTTTTAATTAAATATTATTAACCATATACAAATTTATGTTAATTTAAATCGAAACAATATGCAATTATTTATTTTTATCATTCTTCCACGATAATTTATTCTTAAGTAATTAATTAAACGGTGTAAGGTTCAATAACATTATGTAAAGCCTGAAATTACCATTTTCTAAAAAATGCTGGTTGGCAACAGCCTTGATCTTTCAGCTAACCACATTTGAATGTCTTATCCTAGAAGGTGGTGTATTACTTTCACTGTTAAACACACTGAACGCTCTTTCACGAGGTAGGTACATACTGCCTTTGATTTAATGTATTGCTTAAAGCACTGTGGACAGGCAGCTATAGATGCAAACCACGCTATTTGCGAAATGTACTAACGTAATCCGAAAAATGCAGTAAAATCTATTTCTACTGTTTTATTTCATCGCGCTTGATACGCAGCAATATAAATCGCATATATCGCAAGTGATTCTGAAAGAATAAAACAGTATAATAGGTATAAAACATTTTGAGATATTTCACTTAAAAGAATTCATTTAAGGTTCTCTTAAAATTTCTACATAACGAAACAAATATTACTTCAATTTGTAAACCACAATAAACATAAAAATAATGTAAACAAATTATGCTGCTCATATGATTATAGTACGAAAAGAACAGAAACAGAGACAAAACAGTGTAAATTCGTATTTTTATTCATACATCAAATTTAATAAAAATACAATATGGTATACGTTATAAAATGTAATGCATTTCCAGTTCCTATTTTCAAAATTTACCATACTTTCCATTCGAGATCAAAAAAAGCGAAAAAAACTACCTCGAACCAAATCCATCCCCATTGGAGTCAAGGACGACGTTCCAAAGGAACTACAGCCCCAACGCGGCGATGTCGAGCATACGGCGGGAAAATGGAATTTTCACCAATCTTTTCAATATTGCGTCATCGCGCTCCAAAGCGCACAAAAATCACTCCATGCAGCCCAAAGTAACCCTATGTCGCAGCCCCCCATCCCCGACAGCTAAATTTGAGTGCCGCGACAAACAATTAGGTCCGAATTTCGAAAACCCAAAAATTTCCAGGCGGTTCCGTCCGTAATTCTATAACTGTCGATAACCAAAAAATCATCGCACTTCAAGTAATCAAACGTAACATTTGCGTTTTTGTGTATAAAAACTATTGCACCTTTGTAGACTGTCTAGACATATATTCAAGGGAACTTTGCTAACTAAACTAAACTAATTGAAGAATAGCTTTTTTCTTTATTCGAACGTAAATACTTAGGAACAACCTGGGCAATGCGAAAAAAGTCTACTAACAAATTATTAAAGTCTCTGATGTTCATATTTCGTAATTACTTCTCATTAAAAAGAATCACTCAAAGTGATAGAAGTTTCTGTGTACCTTCTTCCAGCGACGTTGACTTTATAGGTCACACTTCCGTTTAACGTAAACTTTTTAAACAATTAAGCAGCGAACATATTAACAATCATGTAAAATTTCATATGTCGTCACTGTAATAATTCTGTCTAGTTCGAATATAAAATGTATTACTATGACAGAAGCATGTATGAGAAAGTAGACGTAAGACAGAATTTGTTTCTGTTAAAACCGTAAGTAACCGTAAAAACCACTTCAGCATAAATTTGAAAATGCTATTCTATGTCAGAGAGAGAAATTATGTGTTAATTGTTAAACAACCATGACATTTTGTGATTAAACCCGACAATTATTTTTTTATGCAAAGAAAATTAGTTTTTTTAATTAAATCAAGTGTAATTGTGGAAGCACGTACAGCGGACTCTTTATAAAATCCGTGATCATGCTGTAGGAAATAGCCGGAATCCAAAATGACTGAGGCAACTGTTGATTAACTTGTACAAGTGACAAATTTCTAGAGCAAAAAATTATAACATTGGTGTACCTGTTGAAGCAACGAACAATAAGCTTAGAACTGAAATACGTAGAAATATCGAAAGGTAAGACCCATCAGATTCTATATTGATATAAGGCGCCTTTCTTAAAAAGATATACTATCTTCATTTTTCTTCAAATCAAAGCATTATTAGTTACAAATTTCTTAATAAAACTTAATCAATGCAAGTGCTAGTTGACAAATCATTATTCCTCCAAATTTTTCATAAAACTAGAATTAGATTGGCAATTAAGTAATACCTATTTACAATCTTGACCATATTTCCATAATTTAAGCCTCGATTTTTAACTTGAAACTTTTAAAAAGCTTTTCTATAAAAATTAAGTTAAGACTATATTCATAATAAAATGTGATTTATATATCTGAAATAATCTCTAAATAGTCATAATCATATTGTAGTTTGCTTCATCCCCCAATAAAATTGGAATCTGCTGGGTAATGTAATCTAAAAAAAATGCAACCATCAGTTGACTTCCTAAGTATTGTTTTGCTAAACACAAAATGTAATAATACTATACAATAATAGTACGTGGTTTACATTGTGTTTACTTCCTTTTTTATTAAAAATTAATTAGATAGGCAGGAAGAGACTGTTTAGGATTAACCCATAAATTCAGATACTAACCAACACTAACTTTATTGTAAATTATCTTAAATAATCGTTCCACAATCCACTATTTGAAAACATCTTACCTTACGGATCATTTAACTTCACCTTTATAAAAATTAATTATACAAATTAGCGATGTCTAATCAGCAGCTTCCTGTTTGAAATTTCAATATTATGTTTTATGTAATATCCATTCTAACGCTGCAATATTTCAACCGTAAATGTTGCCTGACTTAATCACATATTTTAAGTTCTCATCCTTTAAGGAGCAAGCAAAAATATGTTTTATTTTGTATAGATCATTAATTGCTGCTTGGCCATTTACATTTTATTAAATCGATGGTTTAAAAATATGTATAAAGCCGGTCACACACCTAAGTAGGCCTCGCACAACGATATCGAACTTAAGTATTTTCGAACCCTCGCAAAATATAAAGGTTCCGTCTATGAAGATGAAGAAAAACTCATAGCAAACATGCTAATTAATTGTTCAGTAATTCATTAAAAATATACTCTCTGAATATTTAGGCGCGGTGCGTCAATACGGACGTTATTGGACCATGCTCTGTACGAGACTATGTGTGGGGCTATGTGCCGTGCTACAGTCTGTATAATATTTGTTGAGATAGAATTCCAGGAAAATTATCGAAACTACTGTAACAA